GATCTCCTTGTGGAGTAAGTCCTAGTATTTCATCAACATCTACCTGTCAATGTACTAATATTATGCGTGTAAAGTAACTAAAAAGTTAGTTATCCTGGCAAATCTCACTAGGCAAAAGCGTGTGAAGCTTACTAGCATTTTGCGTGTAAGCGTGTTTCCTTTTGTGCGTGTTATGTAACACCGAAGTTAGTTATCATGCAACTAGGCATCGCCTAGTTGCAGGATAACTAACTTCGGTGTTACATAACACACACAGAAGAAAACACGCTTACACGCAAAATGTGAGTAAGCTTCACAAGCTTCTGCCGAGATTTGCACAACGTGCACATGTTATCCAGGCAAATATCATTAGCCAAATGCGTTATAAACTTCGGGATGCAGTGTGTAAATACAAAGTTTTCACGCATTTGGTTAGTGAGATTTGCCAGGATGACTCGAAACGTGCAAATATGTTTTACAGTATATATACATGTTGTGCGTTTTCACACACCGTGTTGCGACACGCGTCGAAATTTTTATGTTAAAAAAATATCAAACAGACGAGTATTTAAACACAAAGATGTTTATTCAAACCAACGAATAAAGCAACGCAACCAACCTCATGCCAACCAACGTCATAAATCAGTCGGTAATCTGCACCGGTCGTGGTGACAAATCTGCACTGATTCACACCTGCAACGTTATAAACAGCCTGCAGGAATCCGCACCAGCCATGACACCATACAGGCTCCAAATACGTATCACGAAAACATTGAGAATGGTTCATTTCTGTCGATATGGGTAAACTAAATTGCAACAAAAGGGCAAAAATTCCCTGACCGAACAATGGTGGCTCATGTGTCTACAAAAATATTATTTGACAACTGGTTGCAGTGACAGGAATTGCATAAAACAGCACCTCACCGCGTTCACTGGTTGAGCGCCCAACCAAAAATTAGGTATATTTAATTTCTTGTTCAAAGCTTAATGCGGTTTTAGTGTGCAACATGCTCATTGAATTCAGTCCGTCATATGTACTTATAGACGTCAATTAACAGTCAATAAATGAACAGTGTCTCCAACCTGAGACCCTCTAAAGCCTGGTTGGAGGTTCAATTGAAAAGAAAATGAGTGACATAGGTACATAAACCACACTAAAACGCCAGCAATATCTGCACTGATCTTTCCCATAATAACTCACCATACCAGTAAGGATGAAAGCCATGTCCAACAGTCCATATCATTTCACTGTTTGACTTCTTATTATTCTTATTCTTAACACCACTTCAGCTCCTTATATAATACTCCACACGCAACACTTATACGCCACAGCTCAGCTCCTTCACAACGCACACGTCCTCTCCCTTCTCTGACTTGGCACAGACTGAACATGGCGGGCGCAGAGGGGCGCACAAAATGGCGATTTTTTTCAATTAACTAAGGTCTTTGTAATGCTACAACAAAAAGGGTAGTAAGAAAACTAAGATTGTGAGTTACAACATGCGTTTGATTTGTTAGTTAACACGTTATCCAGAAAAAAAGGCAAAGGAAGCATAAACAAACATGTTTGTCAAATAACACGGCATGGTTTGCACGGATAATATTTGTCGGCTTACAATGATGTTAGCTTTTCTGCTTCGATGAAATGGATGTGGTGTTAGGTTGCAAACATATGTGTTATCTGACCCGTTTTTTGCAACAACGTGTGTTTTAATACTAGATTTTGCTTGAAGAATTAACTAACTGGTTTGTTAGCATTTTTTACAGTGAAGGCAGCAGCAGGGTGGTCGGACGCTGCTTATTACAGGACGTGTGTAGTAGCCCGGTCGGTGCTGACGTAGGTACGTGACGATTGATAAATGGCCCCATTTAATAACGGACGGTGACCGATGATATTGGCTATCAAAACGACTTTAATTGCAGCGTGCTGCTCGCTGCCGTACATCTTACGTCGCATATCCCGCCGCAGAAATGTGAGTTCGGAACGAGGCCGGGCCTACCGAGGCTAAGCTGCCGCGGAATTCGACATTGTGCTCCGATTCCCGGTCGCCGCGTTCGTTGAAACGACCGCACCGCACGGAGACGGTCCCCGACGGCCTGTCCGCGGAACTGGTGGCGCCCAACGCGCGCCGCTTTCCTCCTGCCGCCCCGCCAGCGCCCGCTGGAACTATTCTGTAAAATTAGCCCTCCATTGTGTGGCCGGTCTAATTGTCGGGGCCTTGGTGCGGGCCGACGCAGTCCGATAGTGGCGACTGATAACACGCAGTGCAGGCGCCACCGGGCCGGCGGGGCCGACGGCCGACGGCGGCGTATATCATACGGCGGCGGCCGGCTCAGCCACCGCCGGCAGACCGGCAGACACCAAGGTCAGAACCCGGCTCTCAGAAGCGCGAGCGCCGCCGCTGTCCCCGGGGAGCGCACCGGGAATCGGTCGGCAGGACGGTCTGGTGGTCTGAGATGGTCAGCAGGCTGGTCTGCCGGCTGAGTGACATCGTCTCCACCCTCCTTCCCCGTACGGCGAGCGTGGTCTGTGGTGGCGGCAGCACCCTCAGCGGAGACCTCTATAGACCCTAGTAGGCATCGCCGCTGTCCCCTCTTCCTTCTTACTAACCGCTGTGTGTCGTAGTAGTAAGGTCATCGTCCCGCAGGGCGCGGGCGTCGTCAGACCAGCTCTCGGCCATCGCTCAGAATCACTTTCGGTAATTATTTACCGCGGCTATGGGCGCTACTGCTCTACCGAGGGAGCGGCGGTGGCGGCGGCGGCGATGGCGTTATTAACGATGGTCATGTCGGCGGCGGCGGGCGGTCAACGCCTGGTCAGCCGCCGGAGCTCCGTCCTCACAGCGTGTGCCGTCGACACCGGCACCTCACCCGCCGCCCCGTGCGGCTCTCTCCGCATGCCAGCGCGCCCGGCCCGCTCGGGCAAACACGGCGCGTGCAGCGCCGCGCCGCCGCGCGCCACAATCGCGCCACTCAGCACCTGTCTGGGCGCGCGCCGGCGCGGCGCGGCCCTCTTTGAGCGGCGCTAATCGGCGGATCGCGGGGCGCGCGCGCGCGCGGCGCCAGTGCCGGGCGTGCCGCCGCCCGCCGTGAGAGGCGAGCGGCGGGGCAGCGGCGGTGGTCGGCGCGCCGGCCCATAACTGACCTAACCGCGCCGCTAACCGGCACGCCGCATGCAGCCGGCGGTGGTGGCGGGCGCGGTGCAGGGCGACCGGGTCGACCCCGGCCACCGCTGACGCCACGCGCCGCTCATTTATACCGTCACTGACGTCAGCCGGCGCGCGGCTGGGCGCAAATGGAAGCGGCGGGCGGCCGCGCGATGGACGGATCACGGCCCGCCGCGACCGCCCCGACAAATTATGACGTGCTGGCCGAGCCGTTCTGGTCAGGCTCATTGACAGTAATTGCATCATATTCGTTCCAAACATGGGGCCGTAGTTACCCGAGACGATTTCCAGGGAGATCCACATTGTGTCAATCACATTAATGCTTCTCGGACCCGGAGAATCATGGGGCTTTCTCACAGAAACCGGTGCAGTTGACCGTTCCGAGAGATGAGCCCATACCATCACGGGAGCAGCGCATACAATGTCCGTATTGTAACAGAATGACAATTTAAAAACGAAGCGGAAGCATTGAGGCAAATGCCTTGGCGGCGAAAGAAAACGTGATTACAGTTTCGCATACCTTTACAACCTTCATTGCACAATTAACCCGCGCCCCACTGGGGAAGGGGGGGCTATTTATAGCCCCCCTCCCGTTTTTCTGCAATAACTTCCAAACCGCTTGACGTATCGACGCCAAACTTTCAGTACCTTCGGCTGCATCAATTTGACACCTTGTGTCAAAATTTGAACTTCGTACCTACCATAGGTCGGCCGGAAATGACGTCAGAGTGACGTCATGTTCGGCCGATTTCGACGCAAAACATTGAACCACGGCAATCGCTCCCAAGAGCTCAGTTTTTAATCTAGATCCAATTTCTTTCATGAGAGGACTCAGAATAGACTGCGCTATCAAACTGCTATCTCGGATTTTCGAAATGTTGAAAATTTTGAAAATTTTATATAATAAAATTCAAAATTTATATTTTTACATTTTTTTCATTTTTTTTGACTTTTCGAAAAAAACGGAATATATGTGATAGAACGCATTATCATGACTAACTCTAGCAAGTTTTAGCTAAATATCTTCAAAAATGGCCAAGTTATACGCATTATTGCAAAAAATTAACAATTATTAATTTTTCAAATCAATTTTTCAGCACGAATTTGACATCATACGCCAATATAAATAGCACCATCGTGTTTCTGAGCTCAAACTGCATTCAATAGACACCTTTTTTGTTGAAAAATTTTAACTTCAAAATTTGACCTTTTTTGACCTGAAAGTGACCTGACCTAAGCTAAATTTGACTCAAAATGACCTTGAATGACACACACGACATCAAATTCGAAATGTTTGGCCTAAATGGACCATGAAACATGTGTCACGTGACCGACGGATGATATAATATTTTCGTGACAGGTCACGAAAATCAGGTCAGGTCAGGTCATCACAGGTCTGTGATGACCTGACCTTGACCTGAAAATCAAAGTACAAGTTTGGTACCCTCAGAGTATCTAGAGCATCTGTTCACGAGTGTGTGAACCAAAAATGAGCCTGATCTGACTTGTAAGACGGCGGCCAGAGCCCAAAACGTGAAGAAGCCAAAATGCAAATAATTTTTACTTTGACCTGACCTGTGACGTCATCGGTGACCTCGAGGTCAATGAAATTAGGTTTCGCTCGACAGTTTTTCCGGGGCTATCAGACGCCATTTGAATTTTGACGATCGGCCCAGTAGTTTCGGAGTTAGGGGGGGGGGCTATGAATAGCCCCCCCCCCCGTAGGGCGTGTTATACGCAAACCCCAGTGGGGCGCGGGTTAACACTAACTCATTACTCAGCTCTTATTACAGCTCTGGTCAACAACATATCACCATCTCAACCCTCTAACTCCCCCTCCCTCTCCTCCCACAGAGTTCGCCGTTCTGATGACGGGCCTGTCCTCCTACAACTCCACGGGCAGTCCGTCCAGCATCACCAACGCGCTGGCCACGGGCCGCTTCCGTCTCGCGCGCCGCCAGCTCACCTACTCCTTCTACTACGAGCGGATGCCACGCCGACCCGACCGCATCGTCTTCTTCGACGAGAAGGTGCGCATCGTCGAGGAGTTGACAACGTCGGCGACCGAGTACGAGACAGAGAGCCAGAAGGTGTGCGGCGTGTGGAAGAAGGTGCCCCGCCGCTACCGTCGGAAGCTGAAGGGCGGCCAGCTGCACGTGGGACTGGCGTACGGAGAGCCGGAGGAGGAGGGCGTCGAACAGCTGGACCTGGCCGTCAGCGGCAAAATCCTCAGGTAAGGGGATGAGGGGAAAATCCTCAGGTGAAGGGTGACCAGAGAAGATTGACAGGTGAGCAGAGACGAGGGAAGGTCCACAGATGACTGTGAGCCAGGGAGATTCTTCATAAGTGACTAGGTTAATGTGAGAGGCTGAGAATCTCTTAAGGTAAGTAATAAGGAAAAAGAGGGCTTCAAATGACTCGGTGCTGACTGCAGGAGCTTAAAGGGACCCTCCCACCTTCAAAAAAGTTAATGAATTGGCATGAAAGTGATGTCGCTCGGTTCAGAAAGAGCAAAAACGAATATCTACCAAATTTCATCGAAAAATATTCACCGGTTTTCAAGATATTAGACTTTTAGTTTTGTTTACTTTTTGGGATCTCCGCTGTTCCTAGCGACTTTATCTGAAAGTGCGGCATTTGTTGCGCGCAAAGCAGCATATACCACCGCGTGCTACAAAACGTTTTAGTCAAATATTTAACGGACGTTCGGAAGCCTGATGACGTCATCAGATTCCCGTAATGGTTAAGAGATAGGGACCACGCTGGTCCCACCCTGCAAGTAAAGGGAAGAAATTTCTTGAACACCATAAAGCTGCGGGGGTTGCGACCAGGATAAATGGTGGTTTCTGAGCCTGGCCGCAAACTTGGCTATCTCAACTCAAAACTAATGTTAAGGTGGGAGGGTCCCTTTAAGGCGAATTGAAAGATATTGCAGCCATAAGCTGGTAGGATTTACTAGAACACTTAGACCAAGTCTAAACGCGGAAGAAAAATGAATGTGATGATAGATTTTGTAAATAATTAGCTCACCCCGATCAGAAAACCGTTTGGTGATGTATTGATGTTTTGTTTTGCATGAAGAATCCCTCCTGGATGTTTTCACTGTATATTTATCCAATTTTGTCGCACAACACCAATTCATCATAGACCGGCATTCGTGTCCCAAAATTACGTCAGTATTTAGTGCATAGCTACTTTACCGTTGACTACCAAGAAATAGCATATTAAGCGCGAAATACTGGCCAAGCGAGATGCATCAAATAACCAATATATTATGAATGCAAAGCAAAATAAACAGCCAATCAACAAAAGGACAAAAAAGACCATGGAACTTTAGTTTTACTTATGATTCTCGTCCTCTCTTATCTGTCTTACCTTTCCTTTTTCTACTTTCTCTACTATTCAGTCGTCTCATTTTCTAACTCATCTACCCGTTTCTCTCTCTCTCTCTGGTCTCTCGGTCAATTTTGGGACGCGGCCGGCACCTGACTGCGTCTCCGTTCCCAGGTACCGCGGACTGCAGACGGAGAAGTTCAGCGCCCTGCTGGCACCTCCGGAGGACCAGCCCGGCGCGTCCTCCGGCGCCGGCGGCACCGCCATCGTCTCGCTGGCCTCTCAGACTGGCAGCTTCCACATCACGCTGGTCACACACGGCCTCTGGGGACCGGAAGAGACGGGAGATGGACCGCTCGTGGTGCAGATGAGCGCCAGAAACTCGGGAAAGATGTCCATGGACCGACAGATCGACGCCAACAAGGTCACGGTGAGTGTCCCGCTGATGCCGTCTACGGAAACGTCGCGGCTGTCGGTAACCCTGCGTGACCCAGGTGGGATAAAGGAAGTCCACCGCGTCTGCCGGTCCACACTGGGGTCGGACCGAGAGGGTGCGACTGCATGTATGTATGTATGTATGTATGTATTGACGATCAAGAGCAATCCACAATCGGCGTGGCGATTACACTCCGAGTCCGAGTCCATCTCCCTCCACCGCCTCCGCCGCTGTCTGACCGTCCGCAGCCACCGTTAGCAGCAGCCTCAGTACGGCGTAGAAGAGGGCGCGCCAGGCAAGCCGGTCACTCGGCTGGCCACAGAGTACATCTGTCCGCTGGACCGTCTGCCTGTCTGGGACGTGCAGATGGACCGGCGCCCAGGATAGTAACAGGCCAGCCATGCAGCGGCCGGAGAAAATTGCAGTCGCGGCTCGACGCCATTCAGACACCTAATTCGTTGAGTCAAACACTCAATCAAGGCGCTTTGTTACTCGAGGGCAGCGCTTTTCGAGGAGCGCTGCGGCCCGAAGGTTGGGACTTTGAATTGTGAAAAAACGCCCGCCCGCCGCAAAACGCAAACACCGCAAAACGCACGCCCGAAACGCGAACGCAAACGTCGCAAAAAACAAACGCCCGCCTGCCGCAAACCGCATAAAAACGCAAAAACGCCGCAAAAAATAAAACCGCCCGCATCGCACGCACGCTAACCGCCAACCGAAAACGCCGAAATAGCGCCCAACCGCCGCCAACCGCAAACAAATTAAGCACCGCAAACGACGAAAAAAAAAGAAGAAAACCGCCCGCATCGCCCACCCGCCCGCCGCCAAACACAAACACCGCAAAAAGCACAAAACGCCCGCCCGCCTCAAAACACAAACACTGCAAAACGCGCAAAACGCACGCCCGAAACGCCAACGCAAACGTTGAAAAAATCGCCCGACCGCCGCAAACCGCAAAAACCGCAAAAATTAAACCACTCGCAGCGCACGCACGCTAACCACCAACCGAAAACGCCTAAAAATCGCCCGCCCGCTGCCAAACGCAAACACCGCAAAAAAACGCCCGGCCGCCGGAAACCGAAAAAAATTAACACCGAAAAGGACGCAAAAAACGCCCCGCATCGCCCGCCCGCCCGCCGCCAAACACAAACACCGCAAAAAACGGCCGCCCGCCGCAAAACGCAAACACCGCAAAACGCGCAAATCGCACGCCCGAAACGCCAAATATATATATATATATATATATATATATATATATATATATATATATATATATATATATATATATATATATATATATATATATATATATATATATATATATATATATATATGCGTACCTCACAGTAATTTATTAATTTATTAATACATGAAACGGGTGAAAGATTCTTTAATTTTAGCCTCTATAGGCACTTAATGTCGCACTCTAGACAAAAATGGCGCACAACAGCCTATTTTATGCCTCGCTTCATATGTGGCGCAGCCTAGTTTTATGCACTACCGTTGCAAGTTTCGACGAAATCGGGCCGTCGAAATAAATACGCGTAATATTCCCCCACTTTAGTCACTGTAGCTAAAATGGCGCACTAGAGACAAAAACGACGCACATCAGTTTGTTGTATTTGTTGTGCCGTATGCGGCGCAGGTCAGTTTATTGCATCAATGTTTCAAGTTTCGTCGAAATCGGCCCATAATTGGCAAAGTTATGGCCAAAACGCCTTACGTTGAGAGCGCACGTGGTCACTCAAGGTGGGGTGCCACGTGCCACGTGTGGCCTAAAGACATAAACCGACCACCCTTTTGTACCATATGAAAGCGGTCGTCAGTGCCCTTGGGCATACTTTCGGGTGCGCCACCATTGCCTCCCAGTGGCCGAGCAAATTTGGTCAATCTTTAAATGAGAGCTTACCTCACTATCGGTCACAATGTCTCCGGAATGGAGAACCCCGGGCGGCCACGTGTTTGACACGTAGTAGACCCAGCACCATTGGTCATTGTCGCAACCGACTTGGAGCTCTGGCTCAAACTCATGCAGTGACGTTATCACCTGAGCATAATTATGCACCAATGGCTACCTACCCCAAAATGCTACACCCACATGGCGCACGTGCGAAAACACGTGCACTACGTGATGAGGTGTACAACTAGCCTAGAGCATCCCCTTGACGACTGATCTCGATTGGTGCCGCTGGCACGCATTGTTTGCGCGGCACAGACCATCATACCAGCAGTGGTCAAATTTTCACGGAGGTGGTCCCCTAAAACATGTGCGGGGCGTGCACGTGCATTTCAATCGCCCCATATATGGCCTATGCCACGTGGTAGGCGACATGTGGGTGCATATTATTGGTGTCAATCGGAATTTCTTTTCTTGGAATTCCAATTTTTGTCCAATTCCAATTTGGAATTTGGACGGAATTCTTAACATTTTTTGGAAATTAATCGGAACACAAGGCCTTTAAAATTTAAAATTTTAAAACGGAGGCCTTTAAAACGCTTTTAAACACTTTTAAAATTTACGCAAAAAATGCAAAAATCGTTAAAAATTGGAATAGCCCCCGCTTTGGACAAAATTGGAAATTTACTTGGCAATTTCTTGGAATTGGATCGGAATTGGAATTGAAATTTCATGAAATTGGCACCACTAGTGCATATCATACTGAAACATTTTCAAAATCTAACGTGGGAATTTTGAACATAATCGATTTTAGTAACTTTTTCAAGAAATCCTATTGACTTAACACGTAAAAATTTGTGCGCGTGCCACGTGCAAAAAAGTTAATTATATTTCAAGCGATCGACATTGGCGAACGGAATTCCGACTACCGGTACCCTGACCGACGACTACCGGTACTACGTACCGTACGACGACTACCGTACGACTACCGACTACCCTGACCGACTACCGGTACTCAAAAAACAAAGAAAATCTATCGAGCCGATTTTGAGCAAATCGAGAAAAACCGTTTTGGCCCATTTCGTAACGTTAAACCAATGGCGGCTGCACGTGCAATTTGCACCCCCTTCCCGAGGCTGCCCGAAACGGCGCCGCCGGCTCATGGTAGATGCCGGGGCGGCCACCCAGCACATAGAAGCCCATCGCATAACAAGCGCCCGTCTGCAAGAAATGCGATGCCGAAAATCCACCTAATGTTGAAGCCTATGGGCCTAAAACACGTGCACGTGCCACGTGCAAGAAAAATAATTATATTCTTAGCTGAGGGTGTTTCGTGGTAGATAATCTGCGGGGGCAGCTGCCCTGAAAATTTAATCAAAATCTATCGGTTTGTGTGCAAACGGTGCAAGGTGCCCCAATTCGCTGCACCAAACATGGATTCTATCCCGAAATGGAAACACCCTCAGTATGTTTTTCAATAGAAAAACACAATTCTAAAGAATAGTGTTTGTCTAATGAAGAAACAACCTTCGGGTACTTGGTTCCAAAAGGAAGCGTTGACAGACGACCAAAAGCTTACCTATTTGTGTGTGCACTGTGCATACAATGTTATGTGATAAATTATCCATTTTTAAATTCGAAGAATGTTTATCTGACCGGGACCTTGAGAAGGGCTCAGTTGCTGGCAGTGTGCTGACTCGCTCAGTCGCTCGCTCGGCGGGTTGGCCCCTAATTTCGACAGCTAACGACGGGAATACGTGCTGGAGACGTGGACCGTGAGATTATTAGGCGGCAACGGGGTGCTTTGGACAGCCAAGGGTCCGATATATAGCGGATCAGCCCAGAAAACAGGAGAATTAAGACGAGGGGCTGTTGAGGGCCGGGCGACCCGGCTGGTGGCACGTACGAGCCATCAGGGCGGCCCGCCGTCCCGGAGACAGCTCTCCCGTCCGTGCACCCCAAGCGCCCTAGGCAGACCACACATTGAGCCGCAGTCCATCGAGGGGCCATCGGCCCGACATCATGTCGCAATCGACCGGGGTTCGATGTGACTCATGTGCCAGTGACCTGAGCTGACCACTAGACCGGCACCTTGACCCGGCGCGGCGGCGGCCCCTGCGCGGCGGCAGAACAAAGTCAGCCCTGCATGACCCGGCGCCCTGCTAACCCGGGTCTGTCCGACCACCGCGGCGCGTCACACGGCCTTCATTCGGACCCCGCGTCCTCGGTCACCAGTAATCCCCGCCAGAGGGAAGATCGGCCGCCCCGGGCCGACTGATCGGCCTTAAAACGGCACTAAAACGGTCACGACCCCGCCAATGACCCTCCTCCGACCCTGCCGAAGGCGTCGGACCTGCAGTCAGTTTCCGTCCGATCGGCTATCACGAGTCCATCCCTGCAGAACGAGTCTTCCTGCCCCGGTGGTCGGCGGTCAGACCGGCCGGCCGGGCACGACAGGGCCCGCTCTCACGGCCCTGGTAGCCGGTAATAGGCCTCCTCGCGTGACCCGGTCGGGTCACCGTGGGTGGCACGGCTCGCCGGCCGCCGGCGCTCGCCCGTCGCGCTCGCAAACAAACAGACTTATCACCGGTTTAAGGCCTCGTTCGCTTTACTTGAAATGGGATTCAGATGATTTGCAGTGCAATTGGCTAATAAATTAGCGAACGTCGCGCGGCGGGTGGCGCGTCGCTCGACGACGAACGGACCATGCAGATTGGCCCCGCTAATGCGGCGCCAGTGAGCGGCGCCATTTGAATGTGCACCTCCGCGGCGCATCTGCATTGTGCAAACTACCCTCGCCAGACACTTGTCCCGTTTGCCATGGAACAACAGACCGGCCGTACCGTTTACCAGGGAGGAGCCTGAGAACATGGTAAAGGAGCTTACAAGGGAGCCAACTATACATAGAGTAACCTTGCTGTTTAGCGACGAGCCGCAACACATGTCCTTCTACCGAGAAGGCCGCCGAACATATATATTGTCCGGCGTACCAAGGGAGCTGCAGAACATTCTTTCTCGTTTATCAGGGGTGCCTCAAGGCATGGCTCGCTCAACAAACGAACTACAAAACATGATGTTCCGTTTACAAGGGATCCTCAATTCTCAAAGCATGTCACGTTTATAGAGGAGCCACAGAACAAGCCGTCTCGTTTACAAAGGAGCCCCATAACACGTCGAACGTTTTTCGGCGCTGCGCTATCGCTTATCAAAGCGGCCGTATTGGCCGAGCCGTGCCCTGAAATGCCATCGCCGGTTGACGTCTAAACTCGCGTCCATCATTCAGTCGGTGCCGACAGACTTTTGCACCGCAGTATCTTGTCGGCATGCTGGAAACGATGATCTCACTTTGAAAACGCTTACACAACCAGACAAACTTATCGGCCGCGACTCCGCAGCGGCGACTACTACGCGACGGCGGTGGCGGGTGTGGACAATGCACTTGGACATCACAAAAGTCCGCTGCCGACGACCATGTTCACTGAAGCTTTCTTCTAAGCTGTCAGGCGACTTGGAGCTGTGACAAGCTTAGCGACGTCACCGACTATTTTACTAAGCTTCGAGAGGCTCGAGAAACACCGAGGCCCCACGTTAGCTGCGCGTATCGGTCTTCTGTTCGTGACCGCGGCGCCGGCTCCGAGGGGTTCCATCCGAGTGACTCCGCAAAACAAGCCCGTCGTCATTGCATCAGGACCTGTAAATGGACGAGCCGAGTGCAAACGACAGGTTCTGAGTAGCGCCGACCGAAGTACGAGATATCCCCCAACTAACTGCCCACACACCTCCTGCAGTGACCTCCCAAAAACAGCTTCTGAGGTAAGCCCGGCCCGCCGACCACGCGGCGATATACTCATCACTTGAGCACTTGCGACCGTCCAGTCAGCACCAACCTGTTCCTCTCTGAGGCGACGTGGGCTGGCGCCACACCACCACCAGATCCAGTCATCACTGGTCTCGAGTCCAGTGATGGAACGTCTCGGCAGTCTGTGGACCAGTGACACCGGCAGTAAAACTGACCCATCCGCCCAGCCACCGCCGCTAAAACGCGCCTGTAAAACGACTGGGGCACGGTGTGCGGTGACGTCATGGCGGCTAATTGTCGTCGTACGGAGGTCGGTTGGACTCGTTAATCCCAGATGGGAGTGCCGTGCATCTCGTCAGATCGCTCATCAGCGCGTGTAGCCGCCGTATCGGCTGTCGATGTGACACTGAATTTGAAATACACGATAGGTGTAGCGATAACGGCGAATACAAATAATAGATGGCAGGTCTTACGTAAAGTGCCAGCGTATGTCAAACTCGTATTGCTTTATCATTAGTCAAGTGCGATTTTTACGGGATTACCGAACATCACATCGAATTCGTTGATCATTTGTACCTAGCGTTCCGCGGTTTCGCAGAGAATCATTAAAAAATATACATCATTTACTTCGCGCTAACAAGCTCGCGTCAAAACGAAACCACTACATTCCATCACAAGGTTTCAGGTTTCTCATCACGCTTACCCGAGTATCGATCTTTTCACAGGAGGATGAGACCATCATCGAGGCCAAGACTTCCCTGCTGCCGGAAGAAATGCGTCGACTGGCGCGCGCGCAGCTGCACCTCAAGGTGTTCTCACGCACCCACCCGGACCGCCAGCTAGAGGGTATTATCATGCCCCGCATCGGCTGTAACGTGTTCTCCGCGCTGCTGTCGGGCGTCAAATCCAACGACAAGACACCACCGGCGACCACCGCCTCGGGCCTGGCGACGTTGCGCCTGTGGAACGACGGCCGACTCGACTACGCCATCCGACTGATCGACGTGCGCTCGACGGTGCTGCGCATCAGCATCGAGACCGACCTGCGGCGACGCGCTGGCGGCGGCGCCCGGCCAGCTTACGAGGTCGACGACGTCCTGCCGCAGTACCTCAACGGCTGGGCGAACGGCACGCTGCGCCGCATGGTGGCCAGGGACGTGGAGGCACTTCTTGACGAGGATCTCTACATCAACGTCGGCACAGAGCAGTACAGGAGCGAGCTGAGAGGTCGCGTCACTCAGCTGACCGTCAGCGAGGCACGTCAGTCGGACGCGCCCATCATGCTGACGTCGAGGAACTCTTCTTCGGCGGGCGTCGCCTGGATGGCTGTGGACGACGACTGCGCACTGCACTACAAAGTTCAGGTACGTAAACAAACCTTGCGAAACGGGTCGGTGTTGCGACCTTTACGAACGAACTGTAGTTCTCGGAAGGGTTTAGGTGGGTGGCGCACGGCAGCAGCTGTGTCGGCTCACCGCCGTTGTTCCCCTGCGAAGATGTGTGTCTGTTGGCAGGGGCGCTGACGAGTCCAGGCGGACATAACCGGAGGGCGGGGCAGACACACCTACCCCGGGCGGACCCGGATGATCTCATTTCTCACCCCCACCCGGCACCCCAACCGCGCCCACCCTTGTGATCACCGCTGACTCAGCCACTTTACTGTCCCGCCATCTCTGTGACCCGCCCGGCGAGAGCGGACATCCGTGCCCGTTGTAACCTCGCTCTTCTGTTGCCAGGTGGCTGATCGAACGCCTGGCAACCGACGCATCGAGCTGGTCGAGTTTCCCGGCCGGAAACGTCGCCAGCGCGTCTTGGCAGAGTTTGGCGGATCTCGCGCCGAGAATCGCATCAACAACCTGCCCAAGACCACCATGATGCGTATGGAGAAAGGCCAAACCGTTGTCAAGGTGGTGCCGCTCAACGGAGATGACGAGATGAGCAGCGAACATGCGAAGGTGAGAAAACCCTAAACGCAGCACGCGCCAAGGCTCATTGTAATCAAACTCGGTTAGCCGTTGATTATTTTTCAATTCACTTGACCTGTCTCTGGTTTTCCTGTAACTCCAGGAAGTTCATTAACCGCTTGTCAGCTCGCTTTGCAACTGAACACAACAAATAAAAAACCTAGGCAGAGTCGATTGCTTCTCTCAGCTTACAACAGCAGCAGACTTTTTCTGTTTATTTATACACCATGGGAAAGGTGAGGGACCGCGACGCGGCGGGTGAGTCAGCCTGGCGGTTACGCGCTGGATGCCGCCGCTGGTCTCGGCACGTGTCGGGTAGTAGGTACGCCGGGCCTCCGCCGGCGTCACACTGCAACTCGGCCGGTCCAAGGTCGGCCCATCGGTCGACGTCATTATAATCGCGGTCACGTGACCCTTTTGTTTATGTCGGCGACCGCTCGCAGCGGTGACGATAGCCGCAATGACAGCGGCGCGGAGGGCCGGTCGGGCCGGCGGTTCAAGGCGGCCCTGTGCCGAGAGGCAGACGGCTTGCAACGGCCGTCGCCCGGTCGACCCGACGTCTGAGTGGCTGCTAGTGCTGTTCTTACGGCTTACGAGTGCAATGAGTTATCAGTCTGAAAACCATGAGCATGGCATGGGAGTCATGTTTCGTGTTTATCACAGCACAGCCGAATGAGCCGTGTAACAGCATCCAATTTTTAAAGAGATTTTGGGTTTTGATAACGGCAACTGACCACTGATCCTACTCATTCCCGATCAACTTCTCAATAACAAAACTCAAACCGAACCTACACGCTATACTATACATATACTCACGCCATCTGCCCAGCGGTAACGGCATCGGTGACCTGGGTTCTGCCGTCTGCAAGTCACATTAGCCGGTGTCCCATCGCGCCATCCGTCCGTGGCGGCGTCAAACACTCGTGATCGATGGACGGTAACCACCACCTCGGTAGGCCGACCGGAGAATTCTGCCGGCTGTCGGCCCCTTTAGCCCTCACGGCCGCCTTTGTTGCATCGGACGACCACCAACACGCTGACTGTTGCTGGGCCAGTGAAGGGGACAGGCGCTCACCGGCCGGTCTAGTTCGAGCGTCCGTGTCTCTCCCATCCCTTCCCCCTCCCGCGCCACACACTGACCGCTCGTCCTCCCTCAGGTGTTCGTGCCAAAGTCGTGTCTGCCGACGCGGCGCATCCGTCTGGACAACTACCACATGGACGGTGACGATGGCTTGGAGAACGAGATCCAGCGCTCGTACGACTGCGAATATGAAAGTGAGTGACCTCGCGGTGCCGCTCGCGACACCGGAGCGGCGCCCGCAACGGTACCGGTCGCTCGTTTTTCGCGGTGACACGCGATGCTCGCCGACCGGTACTTACCACTCATCGCACGGGGACTTACGGGCCGACGGACGGACGGACGGACGGATGGACGGACGGACAGCGGGGTACGGGGAGAGAGACAGGCCATCAGCGCTGACAGGTCCGCTGCGCCAGACTCGCTTTATTTCGGGGCCTGACTCAGAGACAGCCGAGTCGCGCGACTCGCCCTATTTTCGGGTGTGTGAGTCATCCGAGTCAGGTGTCGACTCTGCCGGAGTCACTGCGCGGCCGCTGGCCCGAGCGCCGGGGACAGAAATAGTCGGTCCGGACAGCCGGTCACCGTGGGTGGGCCGTCAGTCGGACGTTGGTGGCTGCGTGCCGCTGCCGGCGCCCAATATCGCCCCTCGTTGACGGACGGAGGAGCGACAGGTGACGGACGGCGCGGCGCCGGACCGGTCCGCCCTGGCGCCGGGCTCCGCCAGTCTGCTCTCGTTATGCGAGTCTTCAGGCGCCTCCCGACGGTAAACAGAACGGGCCGGAGGCGGCCGACCGGTCACCGACTGTCTGTGAGCGGCGCCACGTCCGGCCGCGGAGCTGCGACCGCTTGTTCCGCCTCGGCGCCACTCCGAGAGGTCTGACAACTTCCGGCAGCAGAGATGGATCCGGGGGCACCGCGGGGGTGTGGGCTGCGGGAACGGAGCCAGGAGAACCACAGGATGGGGCACAGGGGGCGGAGAAGAGCAGGAAATGTTCTTCTCCAGTGTTGGCACCAAAGCACCGACTGATGTTGTGCCGAAAATACTTGTTATTGGAGCACTTCAAGTTGTCATAACATCTGAAGGGGTTAGTTCAGAATTTAAACACAGTGCCGCATCCGGACAGGCACTGTCCGGATGTATTTGAAATGTTCAGCGATGTTGTCAATTAGTTGCTGCACCACAGCGAAGTTTCAAAGAGGTACAAAGGTCCTTACGCTCCCAGCTGGATCTGGCACAACTGTCCTCACTGTCCCCTCCCACACTGGTTTCGATGCTGACGCCGGGCAGTGCGGCCTGGTCCAAGCGAACGTCTTTCAATAAGTAGGCTCCCCGCACGTCTTACCTCACAAAAGTCACCTGAAGACCACAGAACTTCACTAAGAGCTTCTAGTCATCTCTGTGACATAACCACACGCAGATTTACGGGCGCTAGAAAAGCTTCTTTCGTCTAAGTGCTTGCCTCTGTTCGCCGAAGCTGCTTATTTTGGCGTGTCCGAGATAAAATCGACATTTAAGACTGGTTGAAGCATATGCTTACTTATTTAGCGCGGCACCCTTTTACGGTAAACTTGTTAGACGCCGGCGGCCGCCTCGACGACTCGCCTTTCGTGTTTCAAGGCCACAGTTTACCGCGGCGGTCAAATTCCGAGTAATTGTGCACTAATGAGTGCCACCGACAGAGATGGCATCACGCCCACGGCATGTCTGGAGCCGCGCCGCTTCCTGCTAAGCCCGCGCCCATTTGTGGACCACCCAGCGCCGCCGGGCTGATCGCTGCGGAGCGATGCTCATGGGCTCGTGCCAGGCCGACCGCTTGGATAGCTCACTGGTTGATGGGCAGCTCAGGACAGCTTGCTATGTTCAGCTGGTTCATTGTAGCTCACAACAGCTCACGGTAGCGCTCCCATGCCTGAACAGTGAATAGGGCGTCGCGACTCGCGATCTGTGATCGACGGCATAAAATACAGCACGAAAACACTTCGCCTGTAGCAGTGTGGTTCCATACACTATCAGCACTCGTTCCAGACGCCACTGATAGGCGCAGGGCTCACTCTTTGTTGCGACGCTCGGTTCCGACCCGTGCCGATGTCTCGGGGAATCCCACGGCGCCGAGCCGGCACCCACGCCTGGCGGGCGGTCCGGTCACAACCGTCACGACTTTCGGTAGTTGGTGTTCCGAGGCGACGTCAGCCGGCAGGCTCGAGCCGGCGGACTCAGCCGCTCAAACTACAAGTCTAGCACAGTCTGGTCATTCACGATGAAGAGCGAAGTGCTCGAGATAGAGTCCGTATAAGCCGATGTCACCAAATGACGTGTAACGCAAGCGCAAATAAGAGGTGGGATTGAGCGGCCTTCCCTTGTAACCAGGCGTCCATCTATTGTGGCGTACGTGAGGCGGTGCGGTCGGTCATTATTTGTGCGGGGTCAGGGCGGCGGGGCCGGCCCACCACGGCCACCGGCAGCGGCCCGGCGCGTGACCTCAGCGGATGGCCACATTTGGGCATGGCGCCGCCGTCGATGGGCCGCGCCCTCAGACTGTCTCTCGCGGAGGGCCTCGGACGTGAACTCGACCAGAAGTGGTGGGGGAGACTCCTCGCTGATGGAAACAACTGGGCGGGGCTTCAGGCGATGTTGTTTAGGCACCATGACGACATAGGCTTCAAACGAACCTTGGCCAATGTGTGAAGAAAATGGCCGTAGTTTACATTGAAGGTTGTTTGTTTTGCTTACATTCGCATGCACTCTCGTTGTAAACAAACTTTCTTGCACTCTCTACAAATGCCCTCTTTAACTTCCCGTGCTCCTTCCACAGATCAAATATACGAGGAAGGCACTCAGTGGGAGGCCTCTCACGAGAGCTGCAAGATCTGCAGCTGCACCCACGGCAAGGTGTCCTGCGAGCGGATCCTGTGTCCGACGCTCACCTGTCGGAACCAGCACACACCCAACGGCTCCTGCTGCCCCGTGTGCGACGGTGGTGAGTAAACGAGCGGACCCCCAGCTGGGAGGAAGAGGAGCTGGAAGGAGGCCCGAGTTCTATCGGAGAACCCGGGGCCTCCCATTGTTAGCACCCTCCCAGACTTGGACGCTTACTTCCCGCCTGATATGCTGCCTACTTCTTTTAACGTTTTCACATTTCCACATTGTCTCCCCGTCTCTGACGACGCGTCTCCTTCCCACAGACGAGCCGGAGGAGGCCGAGGTGGCCAACGATCCGACCGAGGGCTGCCTGCTGGCCAACCGGTTCCGAGCCGTCGGCTCCATTTGGCACCCGTACGTGCCGCCGTTTGGCTTCAACAAGTGCGTCACCTGCACGTGTCAGGTGAGCTGCCACGCCGACCCGTGTCACCCCACGCCGACTGGAGGTGCCCCTCGCTGCGCCGACCCGCTTCAGGGCGAATTCACACTGGAACGAACTCGCGCGCGGGCTATCTGCGCATGTAGTCTGTGTCGGGTGGCTGTTAGACCCGGCCGATCACCCATATACGACCACCTGCATGCAGACAGCTCCCTCAAACCATGACCTGATCCACGCGAGCTCAACCGATCTCCATTCAGAAGCGTGATTGCGTATGCGACTCACGCTGGTTTTAGCCGTAATCGGTGACGCCGAGATGCGCCAGAGACTCGTGACGAGCGATTGCTCGGTGGTCGTGCCTCAACTGACCTCATGTCGCCCGTCGTTCTTCTGCAGCTGGGTTCCGCGCCGGGCGACTACCAGGTGTCGTGTTCGAAGCCGCCGTGTCCCGACCTGGACTGTCCGGGCCGCGAGTACATGCCGTCGGGCGCCTGCTGCCGCGAGTGCCGGCCCGTCGCCAAGATTGAACCCCGCATCCTGGCCAGTACTTATAGAGGTGAGTGACGCGAAACATTGGGCATGGTGAGGCTGTAGTAGGGAGTTGATGCAGGGATTAATTGCATAAACTATTGTTTCATTTCTCGGTGAATATCGATGGCGCGAAGCTTCAGCGCAAAGCAGCAGCCCACCATGGTCAATCACTGATAAATATTCGTCCTCCACCGCAGGCGCAATGGGCGACGAGGCTCACGAAATGAGCCAGGAAGAAATCCTGCAGGCAGGAGGCTGCAGAAAGGGCACCATGGTCTACCGCAACGGAGACACCTGGCACCCACGCATCGCCACCATTGGACTGATGCCTTGCATCACCTGCAGATGTCGGGTAAGTGGAAATGTCTCCTTCTGGTACGGATGGGTGCTTCAAGGATTAGCAAAACTGGCTCAAAATTGGCTGTCCGAGCGGGTCAGACTCAGGCTTTGTTTTGTTTTCAGAGTTTAGCATGAGGGTAGCCCAGACAAGATTAGAATCATGGCGTGTTTCCGAAGTGGCTGTTATGCTCCACGTATTTGGAGTTGTTCAGTCACGCACCCATGCTAAGGCGCAAAACTGTCGAGACCGGCGGCCTGGAACATGCATGATACTCATCGCGTGAGCAGCGGCTCCATTTTCAACTATCTCCCTCATCTCCCGTCGTCGCGTGGCTCTCTAGTCGCGCCAGTACTGATGATGTCCGTCTCCCTCCGCAGGACGGCAGCAAGATGTGCGGCCGAACACGCTGTCCAGAGCTCAACTGCCGCAACACCAAGGAGGTTCCGGGCCAGTGCTGCCCGGTCTGCGTCGATCACAATAAACCGACCGAGAAAAAGGCCACCAGGCGGCGCCGCAGTCAAGTGTGAACGCCGCAGAGGGCGCCACCAGCGGGCGCCAGTGTCGAGCGCAGACTGGAAAGTACAAAGCCGAAACATTGCGTGCAATGTGACGAGGCGCTGGACGCGGCTGCGTCACAAATGACGTCACGGAATGCTGCCGTGACGTCACGTGCCGACTGCGGGCCGGCTCCGGCAGCCAGGCGGTCGCGCCGGGTCAGGCGGCCACCGGTGCTGTATTTATTCACTGTAATGTGTTGCCCTGGTGACACTACGCCACACGGCCGGCGCCAGGCGCGCAAACATGCATACCTGTACATAACTAGTGCCATAGCGGTAAGTGTCATTAGCGTTTGGCGGAGTGTTGCGCGCGCGGCGGCGCTGCGGGCTGGCGCGGGGCCGCCTCGTCCGCTCGGCCGGCGGACGGGCGGGCCTCGTCCTCGTCTCGCCTCAGCGCAGCGGTGGCAAGAAATGGAACTGTACGCTTATTGTTGGGTGCCGTCCTGGCGGTGGCAGGCGCCGGTCAATTATTTTTGTAAACACGCGTGTCCGGCGTTTGTTGGAGCTTGTGCGAGAGAGACTAGCGGGCCCCGAGCCAACGTGAGAGTGAGAGGAGCGCCATGAGTGAGTGAGAATGGCGCCGCTGGACGCGAGGTAGAGTGACAGAGACGCTGAGCGAGAGTGAGCCGAACCAGGGAACGAACTCTGCTGAACTCGAGCGAGGCTGGAGGGACAAAGGCTCACTTCCCTACCCTCTTGTGATCAGGAAACCACTTGTGACTGTGAGCGAGCTGACACGAGAATCGAAGAACTGCAACCGTTACTCGTTTTGTCGCGGACTGAACTGAGAATTTCGAGAGAAACAATAGTGTGAGCAGCCGATTCCGGCCGCCGGTATCCGAGTTGTTGTGCGTAAGCCGAGGCTTCGCGGCCGAAGCGGGCGTCGTCGAGTCAGATGTTGTTCTCAGGGTCGTCTGTTATAAGTCTGACAGTGAGATGGTCGGCGGTGTTTTGTGCAGCGTGCTGCTGCTAGCGAGCGCGCCGGGCACTGCGCCAGTGCGGCACCACATTAACCGAGCAGGGCTGCGAGCGTGGCGGCAGCGCGACGGTCCCTGCCTCCGGGGTGCGTCCGGGCGTCTCTCGTCCCACCGTCCTTCAGAGAGGTGCCGGGCGCCCTGCGGGACGTCTCTCCGGAGTGGTCGGCTCTCCGGGCTGGCTCCCCGGCGGTCAGCTGGCCCTATGGCCGGCACCATGTGATACGACCGACAATAGGAGCGGGGGCAGAGCGCTGCACCGCCGCCGCCACGTAGTCGTGCCATGTAAAATACAGCCAGGCAGTCATATCGTGTGTGGGTGTTACTGAAAGAAAACAGAATGACTTCTGCAGGCACGTGGAGACGCCGAGTTTTGACAGCCACACCATCCGCACATTCAGACTGAAAGTAAAATTACAAATTCTGCATGCTGTATTCCAATCGATTCGGCGGATCTCCTCAAGGATTTAGCCAGGATTTCCTGACCGGGAGTCCTGTCGAAGGAGAGCGGGTCCTCTCCTGTTCTGGCCAGGCAGTCGGCACACTATGCAGGCCACCGAAGAGGTCCAGGCCAGTTATCAATCGGTACCTAGTGATGAAGTCAACCCCATCTGGGGTTAGGGGTAGGTCAGCCTCTCTGGGGTCCGTCGTGAGCGTTTGAGTGGCAGAGCGGGCTGCTCCATCGCAACAGAGAGCACTACCGTCCCACCGAGGCGCTCTTTGCCACCGCAGCGCACCAATCTGAATCGCTGGTGCGCCCAGTTCGATGTCTCCAGTCTCCACGATGTACTCCTATTCGACAGCTGCCCTGAGGAGCCTGCATTGGTCTCACTTATTGAGACTGATTCAGCTCGATATCAGCCTAGATTCGGGAGGCCTCGGATCCGGGATCGACTTGAAACCCGCACGCAACAGGAGCCTTGTGCTAGGCAGTAGGCAATACACGTTCTCCAAACCATTCGGCGGTACTCCAAGCTGTTCGAACCTACGAACTACATCGAACGACATCCAATTCGATAGTGGGCCACCCAGTGAAGCCCATTGCTAAAAGCGTCTTTCCCACCGTCACGGCCAGACGACCTAGGCCCGGCCAAAATGACTCCTCGGAAAGGAATAAGGAGCATGTTGGCAAATGGCAGGCACTATTTGCGCATCGATTCATTCGACCACACTTATTATCACACATTTCTCGTCCCATTGGCCATTTCTATCCGAGATTCAGATTACAGCACCAAGCTTACCTCAGTAGAGACTTAGAGAGGCAAGGCCCCCATAGTTTCCCGGTTTCCCCCACCGATCATGACTGACCTGTTTCTGTGGCTCCGGGTGAACGATCGCACCTTGATCGCACACTTCCGCAGAAGTCAGATCAAAAGACACGCTAAGAAGCGATCAGTTCGAAGACGACTGACTGAATTCGACTTCAGTCAAACGCAGAATCGGCACCAACACCACAAGCACAATCCGACACACGCGGCACGCACTCAGTGCACTCAGTCGTCACCCTCATCACAGCACGCGCCACGTGGTAATGAATGAAACAATTTCGACGCGCTGCGCCATGAAATGCAACGCAACAGCAGAAATAATTGCTAGAGCGCCGTGCACGTATACTGTGCCGCATTACCTCAACAGACCGCCTGGGGCTTAGACTGTGCCGGCGCGTCGAACCGTGGCGGATTCAGCCGTGGTGGGGTGAGAATTTGTGGGCGGGGCGGGGCCAGGGCTGGGCAAGTCGTGGGACATATCTGGCTGACGCCCTCGGCCTGGCGGATCAATTGACTGACTGGTGGCTTGGGCAAATAGGTTTACCAGTCCACAACATATAAATCGGCATATTGATATCGTTATCGTTTTAGTTTGGGAGCGAGACGGACGGCCGACCAGCAACATTACATGCCCTAGATCGGCATTCGGTGGTACGGGGGGAGGGGACGGTTGTGTTGTAGAAACCGGAATCACCAGGGGATCACGGAACATGGTCTGAGTTTTGTCCTGAAGTGAAAATGCTGAATGCGTACGTGGATGGGCGGCTTATCATTAGGTTTCATCCACCGACGGATGATAAACGGTTGTCGGTATGGCAAACCGGTGTGCGGGAGCCGGGACTCCATAAAACCTGCGCCACTCCGTAAAGGATTCACACCTGTCCGTCGTTTCCATCCTCAGGATGCTGAAATCCTTCCCCTCCACGCCGCAACCCACCACTCAGGGCTGGACAGGCACCTTATCTCATGCGGGCTGCCCCCTTGGAGTGGCACCGCTGCTCCCGAGGGAGCGCACCCCGTAGCCGGGTGCAGAGAGTGCTTGGAGGGCTGGTCGGCTGTCCGTTCGGACGGGCTCAGTCCCGGCGACTCACTAGGGTGCTTGCCCAGACCAATGTCTCCCCCTATATCCTATTATCCTTCCGGCTCTGAAATGGTCTTGTCAGACTGAAAGGGCCTAACCCAACAAAACAAACAAACGAAGTAAAGGATTTATATGTTATATGTATTTCAAAATTCGTACGGGTCTCGTTTGAACAAACAAGTCGGGTCGGTCGTCACTGGCATTCACAGTGCTAAGTCGCCAACCGCAGCATGATAAATGCATTCCCAGTATAAAAATATTTTCTCACCAGAGTCATCGGTCCGTCTGTCTGCAATTATGACAGGTTATCAACTGTAGCTACGATATATCTAACATTCGACACAAACGCCGTTCTAAGACACTGGCAGTTAGGCGCACCAAGTCGGAATGCACGCTGTCTACCGCGAATGGAAGCTTTTTTCTTCTTTCAGGCACCACCTGCGTAATACTTCATGTGCATAATAGTAACAGTGTGTGGAATGCGTATTGCGTAATAGTATATGCCATTATGCAATTTCAACAATGATTCAACGCTATAACAGGCACCTGGAACCGTAACAATGCCATAATTGTAAAGGTATCAAAATATGCAACATGCAGTAAAAACATCCAACAATATGCAAAAGTTGTATAGTTACGTTGCATTCGCACTCAGCTCAGCTCACGCTACTCCTGGCAAGGGTTTCATTGCATTTACATCCTGTGGTCCCGGCATTGGTTCCTCCGTTCGTAAGACCACCATCCTAATCAGTCCGCCCCACCGGTGAGGTCGTTATTCACGCCACTTTCCTGGCTGGGGTGCCGAACTAGGCCTGAACCTGGTCCTGAGCCCAGGGGACTGGAAATCCCCTTATAGCGCCCATAGGCGGCCAACGGCGTTAGGGGAATGGAGGCACCGGGTGCCAATTTCTACTGGTCGGTCGGTTCTCAGTCGTCTCCGTTATTCTCGGAGCGGATTGGTCAGCGTCTCTGTCCGTTAGTAGCAGCAGATAGCTGACTTTGCAATTTTGTTTGTGACTCTTCACCAAAAGTGATACCTGTCCCCTTTTTAGCCTCAGCTTGCCCGACTATTTCTCGCCTACAATGTAAGCGAGTCAACGGTCTTTTTGACGTCTGCCAGCGCCTCTCGGAGACACTCGAGCACAAAGTCGACTTTCTCGTCGGTGGCGTTGGCGCCCATCAGGCCGATCCTCCAGACAAGGCCGGCAGACGGACCCAGGCCGCCAGAGATCTCCAGCTTGTGCCTGTGAACGGGGCGTAACAGTGATGGCATAGGTGCAGCCACGGTGCAGTAACGCTCCATTCCGTCCCAGCGGAAATAAAATTTATATCGCATCAATAGAGAAGGTGATATACAAAATGACGGAAGCTTACAATGAAATATATCGGCTTCTGATGCGCTATTTATTTCGTGCGAATTAAAACGGAAATATAATCCGGTGTTTGTGAACGTTTTGCTAATGCCCAGCCACGGAAGTTTGAAAACAACACATTTTACTACAACCAGTGAACTGCTTTTTGCACATAAGCGATCTGACCTTTGACCGACCAAACAACAGTAACTCCTCCCCCGGTAACACTCACTTGGTCATGCAGTAGGCGGAGACCGCCTTCCAGTCGACTCCCTCGGGTACTTTGACCGTGGTCACCGTCGGCAGGCGGAACGTCTCGTTCTCCACGAACAGCTTCAGTCCCATCTCGGCTAGACCAGCGTACAGTCGCTGGGCGCAGCGCTGGTGACGCTCCCAGAGCGACTCTAGGCCCTCGGTGCAGGCGATAGCCAGAGCCTCGCGCAGCGCGTAGATGCTGGAGATGGGCCCCGTGTGGTGGTATCTGTGGGCGAGGGACGGGGGAGAGAGGGCGCGGGTGAGAGAGGGCATTTACAGCGGGGGAAACTAGACCGAGTGGTGCAAACAGATTGTCCGTCATTATGAGCGAACATGCGTACATCCATTCGCTCTTCCCTCAATAATTTCATTTATTCATTACATTTGCTCATTCTTTCGGACAATCACTCAGGTCCGCACTCATTCGTTCGTTCATTCATTCATTCATTCATTCATTCATTCATTCATTCATCCATTCATTCCCAATTCGGTCCTTCCTCATTCAACTATGCACCCAATCAATCATTCATTCATCCGTTGATTCCATACTTCTACCATTTATCCAATCATCAATTCATTCATTCATTCATTCAATCAATCATTCATTCACTAATCCTCACTTGCGTGGTCCTTCGTCGCATCCCCAGTAGTTGGCCAGCATGGTCAGATCAAAGTAGAATGAGCTGATCGGCGTCTTACGGTTGATAATCTTCTGCCTGAAATAAAACGAAATAGAAGTTCACGTCAGTCGCCCTTGATTAGTCGTAGGCATATCGGGTTGAATGACATGGCAGATGATATCCACCGGACAAGCCACGGCCCACAGTCTTTCTACTGTATCTTAATGCTTGACCACAACTGAACTTGAAGCCTCCATTTCCCTAATGACGCACCTGGCACATACGACATATACACCAAACACCGCAGCTCCAAACCCCTCCCTGTCCCGTCTCGTTCCCCCGCTGCTCACCAGGCGTTCTCGCTGAGTGAGATGGGCGCAGTGCCGGGCGGAGCGCTGAGCACCTTCTGTGAGCCCGTGTAGACCACATCCACGCCCCACTGGTCGGCGTAGAACGGCACTCCGCCCAGCGAGGCCACCGTGTCCACCACAAACAGACAGTCGTGGCTGTGGGCGCAGGGGAGGTCAGTAGGAGGTCAGTAGAGGGTCACCGGGGTCATTTGAGGTCAGTTGAGGTCATAGGCGGCGGCTGGCGCTCCATAAAAACGACCCGGGAGGTCAGAGGAGGCCAATGGAGGTCAGGGCAGACCACAAGAGGTCAGTGGAGGTCAGACAACTGCGGCTGCGAGTAGGGTTGCGTCGTGAGGGCATGCGCTGGGTGTTGTAATTGCTGTACTTACGCACTGCTGTTTCATAGAGAACGAATACGCATGACGGATGCCATTTGAACTCAAACTCATGTTGGCAGCAGCCCCCCTCCCCCGCTTTGTATGCCGGTAATCCACTTTCCAATGTGATAATCACTATAATATACCCTACTCCACTACAACAATTTGACTCACGCCTTGCAGACGTCTCCGATTCCGTTGAGGTTCTGCAGCACCCCGGTGGAGGACTCTCCGTGCGTCACAAACAGCACCTTGGGCTTGTACACGTCCAGGGCGGCGCGCAGCTCCTGCAGGTAGAACCCCGAGCCGGCCGGCTCCTTGATCTGGTGCACCACGGCGCCTGTGGGGAGAGTGGGGTAAGCTACTGCGTGGCAATGACACAGTGGGGTGTGACGCAGTAGGGTAAGGATGAAGAGACGGATAAAAGAAGCGAAGTGTTCGTAGTTGGGCTTCGGATACAGAGAAAACCTTTTGATATTGCGAGTGACTGAAAACGGATATATTGCCTTCTCAATTTCGTGCCAGAATGACTCTAGCAAGTAAAATAGATAACATAATATTTGGTTGCATGCTTGCACGCATAGTACACAACCTCTCCGATAATATAACACAAAAGCTTAAAACCGCACCCCCCCCCCCCACGATAGCCTTCATAGCCGATAGCCGATTCGATAGCCTTCATGTTGTACCATCGCATCTAGCTCCCATCCGTGGCACTTATCCAACTGCATTCTCCTCAAGGGCACTGCCTCCCCCCTCCCGTCCATCCCGTCACGAACCCTGCCGCCGCGCCATGTCGGAGCTGCGCTCGCCCCAGACGCCATTATGGGCGATCAGAATGACGTCGTCCCGCTCCAGCAGGTTGGCCATGACGCACTCCATGCCGCCGTGACCGGTACTGGAGAGCGCCAGGGTGACGCGGTTCTCCGTCTGGAACATATAGCGGATCCCGTCCTTGCAGTCGTCCATTATCTGAAAACGGACAGACAGAGCGGGTGTCGGTGAACTATCGAAACTTGTTACATTATGGAGCCTGCTTCACCGGGCTAGTTTGTCATGGGCCGTGGGTGGCCCAAGAAAACAGGTTCTGACGAGCACCGAGCAGTTTAGGGAAACTTGGAGCAACCACTTTCCATTGGAGCACTGTAAAAGGCTTAAAAGGTATAAGTAAAAAAGTTAAGTATGTTTACCAACGAACACGAAACAAAACGCTGTCTATACGACCTCGGATGCCGAACCTGCCAACTGATATTTCAATGGATTGAAATAAGCATTTAAGGTCACCGAGAAAAGCAAATTATTTGTTTCTAGAGCTTCGGTATAAATATCACATCCTCCTAGTGCCCGACTATCCCTCTGTGACCGCTCGTACCTTGCAGAACTCAGCGTGCAGGTGGCCAAGCAGCGGCTGGCTCTGCGCCTCCAGGACGCGCGGGTGCGCGTTGGACGGGCCGGGGCCCATCAGCGTCTTCAGCGGCACCACCATCGGCTCCTGCAGGCTGACCGGCGACGGCACGTGCATGGTGGCGGCGGTGGTGGAACGGGCTGATGTCTGAGGAACGCAGAGAGATGGGTCGGTGAGGTGAGTTGAGATAAACCTGAGAGCGGACATCGTCTCGGATCATACATATAAATTGACAGAGATTCAAGCTACCACAGAGCTCAAATTGCAAAAAAAGGTGTTCAAAATTCAAGCTCGCGTTTTTTTTTTATTCCATTAGTGTCCAAACGACAGCACCACCTTCTCGACCCACGTCACATGGTCCGAATTTCTATCGCCGCTCTCCTGTTGTATTCTCAGCGTCCCTGCCTAGCTGCTCCCCAACTGTGCGTCCAGTCCCTATACAGTATACACTCATTAACCGATGGCATACTCAATGCCCATGCCGATCGATAGCAGAACGTACAGTTGTGACAGGACAGTTGCGTCACAGGAGCCATATGGCGCCGGCGACGCATTGTGATATCTGAGTCTGAGAGTGCACCTATTGCGTGGATTTCGTAACTGATACGGACATTTGCACTGTGCACCGTGCAGCGCTCTAAATGCCGTACATGGTACAGCCAGTCCGTCCAGTGCGTACCACAAAAAAATGCAAGCTTTGGAGTTTGGTAAAGCAGAGAAAATATCGCAGCGTCCAGCGCATCATCCCGATATCATTCATTAGGCAATTTATCCATCATTTATCTAAAGCATAAAAAGGGCATACGTCTTCATGAACTTAACAAATTATTTCACGGAAGCCCCAAAGACACAGCTGAAAAGGCGTTAGTTCGGCGCGGTACCGGAGGGTCCTGGTTTAATTCCCTTTTGTTCGTGAGCTAACTACGTAAATTTCCCAACCCAAGCCTTCTCTGACCATAGCCCATAGGTCTGTCCAATGTTTCTTGTTTACCTGTAGTGCACGGCAGCGGTACGGCAGTCCGGGGTCGGGGCACCGCAGTGACGGCGACAGAGGAGCACTGGACGACCCTTTCACCACCACCGGCCAGAGGGCACTGACCGCCCGCACCCGACAGGACCGCCCCGCCAGACACCGTATCAGCGCCGGCATGGCGGGTGGGTACTGAGCGGCGGTCGAGGCACCGGGCGAGGAGCTGAGGACACCCAGAGTGAGGATGGTTACAACGGGAGGACGGCCACGAAGGGAGAATAGTTACAAAGAGAGGACTGTTGCAGAGGCCAGAGAGGCGGTTACAGTGGGAGAAGAGGATAGTCGCAACACAACTCTAGAGAAAGGCGAGAAATGAGGACGGCTATCAAAAGAGGACACTCAGACGGTCCCATTGGGGACGGTAAAAAGGAGGTCCAGGAGAACGGTCATCGGAGGGACAGGATGGTCATCGGGAAAGAAAGGTGGCCACGAAAATGATGACAGTGCCAGTGGATAGATAAGAGCCTTAGAGTGAACAATAAAACTTCTCGATTCAAAGATGAATGAGAGCGGAAAATATGGACCTCTTCTAGCCTTTGGCAGCATCCCTATCCGCAGGTTCGCCAAACTGCTGTTTGAAACGTGAATAAAACTCAACTGATACAGACAAAACAGCACGGATAATCTACACAACAGCTAGACGCCCGACGCTCTGCTGCGCCGCATCTCATCACGGATAAAAAGTCGCCGTTCCGAACGATGTTAGCGCAAACAGCGGCGTGAAAAATGGCCTTGCCTGCACTTGGCAGCATACATTTCTAGCTGATTCGACTGGCTTCGAATGGATGCCTTGGCAATGTCGGTAAATTGTGCCACCAGCTAGGCACGTGAATATTATGCGTATGCAAGTTGAAGGTCACTTACACTTCCTATAAGCATCTCCATTCCATTGGATAATCTGCTGAATCATGGAGCATCGGTTGAACGGTTAATGAAACCTCACCAGTCACCGATCTCCGGGCTAATGGGAGGCGCCCTTCGGTACAACAACCCGTGAACACTAACAGACCTGCCACATTTCAGTCACTTGTCACCTCCCTGTCACCCCACTACCCCGCCCGACAACACGTCTGACACCCAGCAGAGGCCCGTCCCCGCCCCCAGTCGACCAGACCACCACCCAGCCCACGCCGGGAACAGGTCTGTCCCGGGCCAGACAGATGGTATCTGGGCCTTGACACGGCCAAACACTGCCTCTACCGGTCTCTACCGGCCCCCAGAGTTGTTCCAGGCCAGTCACGTGCGGTGAAGATACGACCGGCTCCGGGTATCGAGAGAGGTTACAGGCGACCGGCTATTGGTATGGCAGAGGCGGGAGTAGTTTTTAGAGCACGGCACGGGAGAAAGGGCGATGCGATGAATAAGAGAGGGGGCATGTCTTGGGCCTTATATTGTCAAAGCGACGCCTTCAGGCTAGCAATTACTGTGACAGATTTTTTGTTTTAACATAATAAGCATTGTGCCTATAAACGACGGGAGTCGGGATATACCACTTGCTCGTAACTCCAATTGTCCATGTTGGCATTTTTATTAGCCGTTTTCGCCCTATGATTGTGACCACCAAATAATCCAGTTGGACCCGCTCAGGAGCCGTTAGGAGAGGCTAGCAACAGCGACAGGCACCCTGAACGGATGGGTAATGTCTGGCACGGAGGCCACCGCACAGAATAAACAAACGGGGACCATACAACGCCGCTGAAGTCTTTCAAGCCTTTCGCTTGGTAGCTCTAACGGTCTAAGAAAGACTACAAAATCGTGAACACGCGCCTGACATGCTGGTGTGACCTTAGTATGACCTCATCTGTCTGTTACCATGGACTCTAAAACACTCACGCCCACCCGTGCCACCAGCCGAGACAGGGCAAGGAGGACAAGATCACTGGAGTGGTAGGACGATGAAACGATCCCCAGTCTCCCCTCCGCCGCCGTTCTACATATGCAGTACGTTATCACAGCCAATGACCGATACACAGACAGTCTCAGCGAGCACACGTGGTCACGATCGACTGCCTGCCGGCCCCGAATCCGTCGGTCCTCGCTTAGCCATAGGCGCAGCCAGCGCGAAATGTCAGGCGGAAATCTCACCGTGGACTCGCGAATAGTAGACCCAGCACCGCGTAGTCGAAATCCCCGAGCCAAGCTCTCAAGATCAAAGTATTTCCCACTTGAGGGAAGGCAGTGATTGGTGAGCTAGCCCTCCAACGTACTGCTCTGAAATTACCCCGTGGTCACTCACCTATGATTCTCCGTCCTATCTCCGCGGCAGCGGGACGCAGTCGCTCGAGCAGTGGGCTCGGTCCGGTGCTCGCCGTCCGACGAGCCACACCTCCCGTCCGACCAATCACCGTCCGCTGTCCGCGGCAGGCGACCAATCAGAGAGCGGTGGGCCGGTGACGTGCCACCGCCGCGGCCCGGTCCTGCCAAGGCCGAGCTGATGGGTGAGCTGGAGTGCTGACATGGGGCCACGGTCACATGATATGAGCTGCGTAGTAACTGTGCATGAATACAATCGGATCGAGAACAGAGCATATAACGGGAGGTGTAGGGGAGGGAGCGACAAGGGGCGGGGATCATGCGGGCGCAGCGCTGCACAGTACCAGCGATGATGGTTGACGGCTCAGGAGAGTGGGTCGAAGTGGGAGCAGTGCGATAGATATGACATGTGAATTACCATAAACAGATCCTATGTTCACGTTGACCAACGACAGGGTATGCGGTTTTACTAACTAAACCTAAAGCGTCCGCACCTGAACTTCCAGATGGCCTCTGAGGGCTAAAAATAAAGGAGCTATTTTTTAGCCCAGAAACCGAACGAAGGCTTTGAAGACAGCCTCCAAGATACAAAAAAAAAACTAGTAGAATGCTAAGATGACTTAATAAGCCAATAAACATCTTGCAAAGCTAAAACATACAAACACAACCCTAGAGTGTCCAACTTACGTTCGTCCGCAGACCCAACGCGACCAGGCCCGTAGGCCTAGATGACGCCACAGTACGCATCGTGGATAGGTGACGCGACATGGCCCAGTCACTCGAGGAAACTGAGCCGTGTTGGTTCTAATAGACTAGGTCACAGACAGAAGACCCATTCGAAAACGAACACAAGTTCTGCCTAATAAAGTCGCTTCTATGCATAGGCGTCAATGCTCGAATAGGAGTCGCATTTTTCCATGGTCTCTCTTCCGCATCCATAATTTACAGGTGGTAACTGACTGTCTGCCAGCGCTCAGTTTTCCGACAGTGTACAGGTGAGCCACCCATAACATTTCATGCACGAATTATATTGACCAAAGACCAAGCCATCCGATGGTGGTTCCAAGTGGTTACGGTATCACATACTGTTCAGTCCATCAGCGAAGCAATCACATTACGAACTTGTTACTTGTTGCAATAAATAAAATATAACTCGCGACACAACCATGTCATGAGCAGGAGCACCTTCATTATTTCACGGCAAAAAGTTAACGAATGAGTGGAGCATTTGATACCAAACTCAGAACGAGCCAATGAGCACACTCCACTCGTAACTCACAACAAAACCAATTGAACACAACTGGAAAAGCTAGTAGCAGCGCAATCACTTCATCACTAAAACACGAAGAAGTTCAGTGTTCACATCCGCATCAATGTCTGACAGCGAACTCCTTGTAGGCCAGCTCGGCCACGTTGTGCTCGTTGTGGAACTCGCACCGGTCGATCTTGGACTGCGGGCTGCCCTTCTCACTCAGCCAGCGCTTCATCCGCGCCACGGCGTCGGCGGGGCCCTGCACGTGACCTTGCACGGTGTCGTGGCGCGTGTTGAGACACCAGCCAACCAGTCCCAGGTCACGTGCAGTGCGCTGCGTGTACTTGCGGAAAAAGACGCCCTGCACGCGTCCGAACACCTCGAACTCCACGCTGACCAGCGGTGACATGGTGGTGCTCTCAGGCTCGGGGGACGGCACAGAGGGAGATGCCAGAGATGGAGGGCTGGCTGGAGTGTACCAGGTGAAGATCACAGCCAGGAAGCCAGCCAGAAGGGTGGCAACTGCAGTGGTGAAGAGAGTGTGCTGCCAATTAAACAGGACTGTCCTGAAACAAACAAAAACAGGGGCAATGAGCACATTGAGCAGTTAAGTTGTCTGAAACAGGCAATAAGTACATGATTGTATCTCAAGGTTCCCTTAGCCTTATCAACATTATAGTTAATATTGCAACTTAATTAAAAGTGATTTCAGTAATGAGTAATTACAAATTAATTTGCTGGAGGATAAAAGTTCATGTATCAAGAGGATATTCTATAATAATTACAGCTCAGTTCCTGAAAAAGCTGCCTTCATATTGGATATGAAATACCAAATTGAATAATTTTCTCAGGCAGAGGAAGTTCCACATTTAATAATTTACTCAGGAAGAGAAAGTTTTGCTCAAAGATGATGTTCCATATTCAATTTTAAGCATATATCATCAAAAGGACATTCTACATGCTGAGGAGAAATAATTTAATACGAATTGAACTGCACTGCTGCACTGCACCTGTTGAAATGAGTGCAGTTTTACTTTACTTCAGAATTCAAGAAGAAAGGAGAGTTGAGTGAAAATATTGGTTATGAACAGTTGAAAATAATGCTTGAAACTGGAAACTATTTCAACATTTCAAATGAAGTTTTATACTTTTCAAGCAGACAAAAAATAAATTGAATTCAAGGAATAATTCAAAGTTCGAGTTTGGTTCGAGTCCAGGAGTTGGATACATTTCCTGGTGCACCATGGATACTTTTCTGGGTGCACCAATCTTCACATTGTAATCGTAAGTGTTCTGTAAGCCTTTAATCTGAAATGTTAATCCTAGTTATATTGATATTCTCTACGAGTCATGAGATATACCTTAAATGGGAATTTATGCCATTCAACATTCCTCAATACAATTTTCAGCAAGTAAGCCATTCAAAAGGGTTATGAAAATGACTCCACCAGTCTATATTTATCATTCATATTTCAATTTAAATTTGATTCATTAATCGCATAGCTTGAGCAGCGACATGGGCTCCAGCCGGTACCTACCTAGTAATCAAGAGCAGTTATTGCATATAACACCAATTACAAAGCAAGAAACCTGTGCCTTAGGAACCTATCAGAAACATAAAATATTTCAGTGGAACAAATTGAAATACAAAATCAAAATGAAAAATGAAAAAAAGCCTACCTTCCAACAGCGTCACGATCCTTCTTGTTTAGTATCTGTTGCGCCATGTCTGAAACGAAACTCAATGTCATTTACCAAGATTAAAAAAAAAAAAACGCCAACATGTTCTGTATATATTCTACTAAATTTACGTAGTTGCTCAACTTCTACTTTCATTTTGACCAGTTCATATCTCTTCATCATATTATTTTTTAGTATCAAATAGCAATTCTTCTAATTCTATCCAACGACAGCGCTCAAGCTGCGGTCAGCTGCGGTATGGTACGGCTGCGCCTGCACCGTTGACCGCTGTGGCCTTGACCCCGGACGTCAACACGAGCAGTCAGGTGATTGCATTGCAGTGCCCTTTGCTGATGGCTTCTCAGCAGCGCCAGCGGGATGCCTGCTGACCGGTGACACACGAGACGGAGGAAGCTCGCCTCGGTCCGACCCGTGCATCACGGTACGGAGGTAGGTGGCGCTGTGATCGCGGACTAGGGCCGTGAAGGAGCGCAGGGGTGTTGGGTGCTGGGCGAATGCGTGAGTTCGAGGGGACACGGGGACAGTCCAGGCCCCAGGGCGGGTGGCAAACCATATCCTGCATAAGGTACAGACTGCCGACTTGCCAAGACCGTGAAGACTAAGAACACCTTGCAGTCCTGTCCTCAGTCCGCTGGCCTGAGAGACTCTCAGGCTCGTCAGTTCCTCCTGTCACCTGACCTGATGTCTGATGACAGGTGACACCCCGACCCCGGGGCCCGGCCGAAGACTGACTTGGACAGTTCGCGTTTAAGTCTTAGCTCGCATTGGGCTCACCATTACCTACTCAGTTAGGGGCGGCCCTAATCCGCGCTCATCCCGGGTCAGTGGCCACAAAGGCCCTATAGGTCCTACCTATACCGTGGCCACGTGTTCCTGTTCCAGAGTGACACATGCAGTCGCCTATCCTTTTCAAACGGCCAGAGAGCGTCTGCGTGCCTGCTATTGCACTCGTGACCTGACCTCTTGTATTTGTCCGATAGCGCGAAACAGGCCACTGCACACGCGAGACGGGCCACCGCACACTCCCAGTCACACAGCGCGAGAGCCCACCCGGTCCTTCCGTCCCCAGACCCCCTGTCGTCCCGCCTCTGACAGTGAGGCCCGGTACAGTCCGGGGCCCGGTACAGCCCGGACCAGGTACCGTCTCTAACATCGGCGCCGGGGACGGGATACCACGACCCCGGTATCACGCCACACCTCCCCCTGATTCTCAAGAATCATACATACAATTATACAAATACACGATACGGCGATACAAACACATAATACAAACAATACAAACAAACAAAACAATATCAAACGCACATGTGCTCACCGCTCACGTAAGAGTCATCACTCCGGCTGGGTGCAGCAGCTGCACGGCGGCGGCGGTCGCCGGGCACGCTCACTGTGACGGGGCGGGGGGATATTTGCCGCTTCCGCCGGCTCCCCCTCCGTCGAAAACGGTTCCGACCCCTCGCCTGGCGGCACCGTCCCATCTATCCCGTGTGACTCAGTCTGTGGCTCATCGGGGGGCGCCGCCCCGTTCAGCGCGTCATGTTCAGCTCGCAGTGCGGCCGGCGGGGGGCCAACGAGCAGTGGCGGCGATTCGTCGGCCTCTTCACTGTCATCCCCGCTGTCCGAGGACGCTTCGTACCGCGGTCGCAGGTTACGGACGTGCCACGGAACGCCGTCCACCTCCAGCACCTGTTCTGAGAGCTCGCCCGTAACCGTCCCGCGCTGAGACGTCTCGGTACAGCGGGTGCCGCGGCGCCGCACCCACACACGGTCCCCTTCCCGGAGCCGGGCGTCGGTCGGCTGGGTCAGCGCTGGCGCAGGCTGGGCGCCATCCCCGTCGGTATCGACTGGCGTATGCCCTGGGCGGACGCAGTCTCTCACCGCGTAGCGGTACACCCCGGCCGCTGGCGCGGTGTCCGCCGTCCGGCCGTCACGAGGAGTGACGTTGTAGAGGTGGACGGCCTCGGACACAGGGCACCGCCTCCTAGCCGCGATCACCTTGACAGTTCGATGGCACCGTTCCACTACGCCATTGCCGCCCGGCTCGTGCACGGCTCGGAATCTCAGGGCAATGCCCCACCGTGCCACGAGCGAGGCGAGTCGCCGGCCCCGAAACACCGTGTCATTGTCCGCCAGTATTTCTTTGGGCGCGCCGCGCTCCAGGAAGATCTGTTCCAGGTGGCCGGTGACCTCCACTGCGTCGGCACGGCCGAGCGGGCGCCAGACGGTGAACCGCGTGGGCCCGCAGTCGATGACGGTTAGGTAGCTCCGCCCCTGGTGGTGGGTCACGTCCATCGCGACGCGCTCCCATACTGCCGCCACCTCTAGCGAGCCGTGCCGCCACCGCACAGGCGCCGGGTCTATCGATCGGCACACATCACAAGTCGTCACGACCGCGCGCACCAGAGCCCTCGTCACGTCTCGAGACACATCTCGCCGCGCGAAAAACAGCGTCCGACGAACGCCAGGGTGACCGGCCCGCTCGTGCACCGATTGCACAGCCGACCTGACGGCATCTGCAGCACCAGCACCGACGACCACCTGCCCACGGGCGGCCGAGTCGCCGGCTCCGTCATCGGCCGTCACCGACATCCTGCTCTCTTCACACTCGTCACGCAGCCACTCCTTCGGCACTCGCGTCAGGGCGTCGGCGAGGTTCTCCTCCGAGCGAACCAGCGTGACGGTGACCTTGAGCTCCAGTTCGTTGGCTAGCTGTCGAATGAGGTCGACCCGGCGTCTGATTAGCATCTCACCGGCCGCTCTCGTCCGGAGGCGGGCGCGGCCGCTGAGCGCGTCGTCCACCCAGCGGTGCACTGTCGCCGAGTCTGTCCTTAGGTCGATGTTTGTCACGCCCCACGCCACGGCCAGGTTCAAGCCGCGAACGGCGGCATCCAATTCGGCCATGTTTATGTGGGTCGCTGCGGCATCGCCGGGCCGGAGCCAGCAGGCGTCCTCCATCACGCCACCGCACGGTGTCTCGATGACCACTCCAGCCGCGATCGAGCTGGCGTCTGTCCAGACGATTGCCTGATCCCCGGTCCAGCACCACTGGCCCCGCGCCGGGTCCGCCGCTAGCAGCCGGGTGTGCACGTGCGAGATCTGAGACTGCAGGAGCGCGTCGGTCGTGACGTCATCCCAGCCGCGCGTGACGGCATTGGCGCGCCGTTTCACCCAGGCGGCGGCGGGTCGCAGCCAGCCGCAGACGGGGAGGTGCGCCACCAGCCTGCCGCACCATGCAAATACCGATCGGCGCGTCACACGGTCGGGCGGGTCGGGGACAGCACTGTCACGAGACCACCGCAGCTCACCCGCCACACGCCGCACGTGGAGTCCCAGCATCCGAGCGCCGTCCTCGGCGCGTGCCGGTGGCTTGCACTCGAGCCCAAAACGCTCAAAGTGCTCGACCACGTGCTCAGCACTGACGACAGCCTCATCCACAAGCAGGTCGTCCACATACGGACAGACGGCGCGCTCCACTGCTGCATCCTGCGCCATGACGAGCCGCACCACCGCCTTCATCACGGCCGGCGCTACATTAAGTCCAAAACCAAGGCGGGTCAAACAGAATCGCTCACCACGGATGATCACTGTCTGATACGGCCACAGCTTCCGGTCGAGACGCAGCTGCAGGTACGCTCGCCGCAGATCTACGACGGCCACCCGCCGGCCGTGGCGGCGCCATTTCCGCAGGCGGTCGGCGCACACGTCCGAGTCGGCGGTGTATGCAGCTACGTGACCGTTCAGCTCTCGCATGTCCAGTACAGGGCGCACCTTCTTTGCTTGTGGGACGGCCATCAAGGGCACGAGGCCGCGCGGCGGACCGTCCTCTGCTTCATTGTAGGGCTGCAGCCAGCCGTTCCTCAGCCACGTCTCGAGCTCCTCGTCGTACTCCTGCCGCGCTGACGGTGGCACGCGGTACTCGGCGACCCGGTTGGTCAGACAGTCTGGTGCGACTCCGTCCGCCCACTTCCAGGCCACTGTCCAACTGCGTGTATTAACATCGAACCTCGCCGTGAAGTCTTTCGCGTCGGCCACTAGCTCCGCGGTGGGTGCCCCGCCCACTCTGGGCCCGGGCATGGTATGCCCGGTCGCCGGGCCGGCCGGGTCCTGTGACGCAGTCGCTGCGGCGCTACCAAGCCCCGCCCCCTCTCCGCGCGATGCCGAGGCTGCCCTGGCCGGCTCCACCGCCGCCACCTTGGCGCCGCCTGGACGCGCCACTGTTCCGCCGGTCACTTGGCCTGCCTGAGCGGGGCGATCCGTTGCTCCCTCGCCGCCGCCTGCGCGCGCCGCTGCACAGCCGATCGCCTGCGCTGCCCGGGCCGGGCCGGCCGCCGCCGCCTCGCCACCGCCTGGGCGCGCCACTGTCCCGCCGATCACCTGCGCCGCCCGGGCCGGGCCCGCCGCCGCTGCCTCGCCGCCGCCTGGGCGCTCCACTGTCCCGCCGATCACCTGCGCCGCCCGGGCTGGACGCGCCGCCGCCGGCGCCTCGCCTGGCTGCGCCACTGCCCCGCCGTGTCCTTGCGTAGCCGGGGCCGAGCGCACTGTCGCCCCCGCGACACCACCTGGGCGCGCCACTGCTCTGTTGATCCCCGCCGGGCGCACTGGGACCCTCTCTGAAACCGCGTCGATCCTCACATCCCCCGGCCCTTTCACGCTCACTCCACCGAGGGCGGAGATGCCCGTCATTCCGAGAATCATGTCCACACCCATTGGCCGCGACGCCACCACTAGCACAGGCAAGACACTGTCGCCACCGACGCGGCCAACCGTCACGACTCCCACGCCTAGTGCCTGAACAGCGTGACCACCCATTGTCGTGATCAGCAAGCGCTGCCGGTCCCACTGATCACAAATGTCCACGTGAGCGAGGTTATGCGTACAACCCGTGTCGACAAGCACGTCTCGGAGTCCTCCATTCAGCGGCAACCTGATTATGGGCAGCGCTCCTCTTATTGCGCAGGAGACGGCGCTGGCGCTGACGCACCGCTCCCTGTGCCGTTTCCCTGCGGGCAGCCGGCCGCACGCCCAGCACCGGCGCGAGCGCGGCCGTCTCGGGACGCGCGCCGCCATCACCGCCTCTGCGTCCTGCGTTCCACCGCGGCTTCCGCCCCCTCCGCGTGGAGGCGCTGCCGTCGCCGCCGCCACCGTTGCCACGCGGTCGTCACTGAGGACGGCGCGCGCTCGCGCGACCACGCTGGGAAGGTCCAACGCCTCGGCGCGCGAGCCGGCGCGAATCACCTGTCTTGCCGCGTCCGGCAGCCCGTTCACGAATGCACAGGACAGAGTCCGGTCCGGCACGCCACCGAACAGTTCAGCCAGCCGCCGCAGGTCCGCCAGGTAGACGTCGGCGGACTCACCCGGCTGAAGACGACGAGTGACGAAGGCATCGTAAGCCGCGAAGCTGTCCAGGGCGAACGCCGCAAAGAGGGCAGACTTGACGGCTGCCAGGGAGGCTCGATGATCGACCGGCAGCTGAGCCCACACGGCGAAGGCTCCACCGGTGAGACGCAGGGGGACCACCGCTCCAAAATCCACGCCACGGTGGGCGCACAACAGTTCCGCGCGGGTCCACCACTCTACCACGTCTGTGGTGCCGTCAAACTCCGCTATCACGCGGACGTCCAAGGCACCCGCGCTCACTGCACTCGCGGACACTGATGGCACCTCGTCTCCAGCCATGGTAAGGCCGAAATAGCTTGTATTTGTCCGATAGCGCGAAACAGGCCACTGCACACGCGAGACGGGCCACCGCACACTCCCAGTCACACAGCGCGAGAGCCCACCAGGTCCTTCCGTCCCCAGACCCCCTGTCGTCCCGCCTCTGACAGTGAGGCCCGGTACAGTCCGGGGCCCGGTACAGCCCGGACCAGGTACCGTCTCTAACATCGGCGCCGGGGACGGGATACCACGACCCCGGTATCACGCCACACCTCTTGACCGTTTGAGCGGCTGCTGGCCTGTCCATCTCAATCTGGGGCACTCCTAAATCCCGTCCCAACAAGATGGCTCAGTCGCTGCGGCCGGTGCGGCGTATGCCATTCCGTGATCGACTTGGCTCAATATCAGTCCCTTTATATCCTACAGCCTTGAAATGAACATCAAATTGTCTAAGTCGATCGAAAGGCTAAGTATTAGAATTCATGCGACATGCATTGTTTTATTGGCCTCCATTCCCTACGCTTGATGCCTTTCTCTGCGAATTATCCAGTAAAGTGTTCGGTCCGAGAATTCGCATCGTGTTATGGCGTCTGCGCCTGCACTGGCTCAACTTCACCGGTCGTCTGCAAGGCGTCTTAGCGTGGCCAGTCCCGTTAGCTCCATGCTGACCGCCAAAGGTTGCCGCGGCCACCGTCATCGCTAACATGATATGCAGAAAGCGACGGAGCCAGTCAGTCAGCCGCTCAATAGGCGACGATGACGGTGTTGTTTGTCAAACTCATTAAACTGAAGTTGAAACGTGGTGCTCGGTGACAGATGTTGCAGGCTACCGCATCATCAAAGGCTCCAGTTGAATAGGAATAATGGTTGAAGAAGTCATGCAATACGTTTTACGTCAGGTGTTTGCAATATCTACGCTGGCTTGTTGATTCATCCACCCTGTCCGGAGGGAGTAGGTATCTCACATTTGGTCACGTTGTCGCAGCTATCTTCCTCGGTATGGCTCTAATGGAGGCAGTAATTGCTTTGACACACACAGGGACGTACACAGAGTGGCTGTGGTCGCTCCGCCAACAACTTCCGGAGACCTCCGGCGCGGGTAAGATACGGGTGCGCGCACCACCGAGCTGCCTTGACGCTGATGAGAAACGGCGCTATCCACCGCATTCAAGGACACGCTGACTCAGAGTCACAAACAGGAGACAAACAGGACTCAGATGAGTCCGTGTCGCAGCGGTCAACCACTCGGGATAGCTACATATGCGGGTCATATAAGGTCTTGGCATTGAACGCTTTCGCAGAGCATCCCGCAGCATAGTTTGCTTTTTAGTTTCGCATGTTGGCAGACCTGCGTGCTTAGAAGGCGCTCAGGAGGTCGATGCTCTTCGCACTATGTGATTAAAATTGCTGCGGTTTGTGGTTTTATCTGATCCAGAATTCACTCTGACTTTAAGCTTATGGAGCATTCTTTGTCATAGGCGCGGGAGCCGGGGGGGGGGGGGCAGTGGGGGCAGCTTGCCCCCCCCCCCAACTCTGGGGCCGTGGGGGCGGTGCCCCCACAGCTTTGAGACGGAATACCACACTTTTTTTGCAAATGTTTTCTTTTTTTGTTGAAAAAGCCGAGGGGTGAAAAATAAGTGGCCTAAAACCGGTGAGAAAACTAGATTTGGGGGTACCCTAGGTTAATCTCTATTATGGTGTGCCCCCCTCAGTCGGAAAGTAGTTCCCGCGCCCCTGTTCTTTGTTACTCGTGTTAGGAGTTAGGACTAAGACGGACCTAGGAGTGTTAACTGTTAGTAAAGCACGCCAAGCTAATAAAGTGCTCTCTCTTGGCTTCAATTTCAAACGTTTGCCATTTTACCTACACCAGACCGATCTATCGAGTTATCGATCCGTTACGTCCTCACGGAAATTCCCTGTTGCTCTTCTAAAGACAACACGTTCTATGCTAACAAAGACATGAAGCAATCACACAGTTTGTCACTGCAAGGTCGCGGTATAGTGTACTCATTGTTCACACTTCCTGATTATTTAGCGGCTCACAGGCCAGCTGTGGCTGCGCCGCTGCTGCTGAATTGTTTGTGCAATCTCACCAAGCAGAGGGCGCGGTCGCAGGGGCCTATGCAGAGCCTTGGGTAGCAGCGACCGCCGACCACTGAGACGCTCGTTACTTCTACCGTTGCCACCGCACGCCCCCGCCCTGACGGCGGCAAATGAGGATCACGCGATCTCAGCAGCGTCGTGCCGCTGATATCAGCCGCTCCCACGGCCGAACTGATCAACAAAGAGCGCGCCACGAGGCTGGTACGGAGCGGATCATTGAAGAGTGCGTCACTTCATCGATGAATGTGGTGCAATGTGCCTTGTTGACACGTGCCAGCGCCCAGCACATCTGCTGCTGTAATGCAATCCACCCTCTTTGTGCGCTTTTGCTTTGGCATCCATTCCTTATGTCATATCTAACACAGGCAAAGTCAAAGATTCGATTGTGAACATTTTAGCTGCGGTGCTGTCCAAAATGACGGTGAAGACTGAACAGAGACATGAACGTTTAAGTTGCAAGTAAAGACAAAAGCAGTCCGCTATAGGTACGTAGATTATAAAGATACTCGTAAGTTGCAATTCGTCGGGTATGTTTGAGGTTATCATTTGCGTGGGAGAAGGAATTAGGAAACTGAATGAACGGCCCATGAGCTGAGCGAGACGGCTGGCTGTGCCTATAAGGGAACCGTCTGTTAACTGTTCAGAACCGAAAAAGTCCGCGTCAGAAAACACTCTCTGGACATGAATGTCTCTGCTCCGCGCACTAAAAGGGAGCAGAATTTGACTTTGCTGTGGTTCAAGGTCTGCACCTTTGACGAAGAAAGCCATATATCATGAGCTATAGAGCGTTCACTGTCTGGAGCGAAATATACGTCCGCCCCATTGTTCACTTGAAAAGGTCTCAGTTGCTCCGGGGTGCAGCAAAAGTGAAAATTCTGTAAGATCTATGGGCACATAAATCTGCACCGCTGAAATTCCCGTCTGGCAATTTTCGTTCGCAATTATCTGTCTGCTATTATCGGGTTCGGAGCGGCCTTGCCCTTCGTGCAAAATCCGGCACGGTCGATTTTGTTGCTCGTGCATCTGCCGTCACCATGGTTACCGGGCGTCTGTTGTCTTGTGCGGTCATTACTCCCAGCTTGCAAGTTGCAGAGCTGGTCTGCCGGTGTTAAACTGGCATAATTACCTCCCAGCCCGCAGCGGCCGACCGCCTCGTTTGCCGGAGTATTGAACAAACCGGTTTGGAGCAGCGCCCGACGACCGGTCACGGCAGACCGTCCGTGATACCGCGTCAGCAACGTCAGTGTCTTCCCATACCTACCGTTAATGAGATCAAAATGAACCCCTAAGTGTGGTACTTTTGACAGCGATCTTATTGGACCGTTTATTTTAACAACAGTTCCTGCAGATTGTGGCCGTATTCAGAAACGGTACCCATTATGATTTTATTGATAACAGCCCCATGATAGGCCAAGAAAAACCTCAAGCTAAACGTCTGGGACTACTTTTTAGTTCCGTCGTGTGTCTTCTTAAATTCCTTGTTCGAGATGAAAAACTCTGAGGTGTCGTGTAAAATATATTGTGCGTGTGATAGTCTGATCGCTTGATCAGCTCTTAATCGTGCCGACACACCTACATACTGATAAAGTTTTGACATTATTTAAGTGACTGGCGTATCTTACAAAATGTTTACCCTTATATAACTATTGCGGATTGACCATATGGGTAGCTCAGCCGAGCTGTTTTCGTTGTCGACAAAGTGCCGACATGGTAATGTGTCTGCCCACGGGCGGCACAACAATCCCACCACCGTGCGGCGCTGCGCCAAACTATTAATCTTTCCGTGGGACAATGGGCCACTTTCACGGTCGGTGCCGTGTCCTGGCGGCGGTGCCGGCGACCTTCGCTGCCGAGGGAACCTCTGGGGCGGCGGCGGAGGGCGGTGGGCGGAGGGTGCGCCCCGCCCCCTGCCGCACTTCATCACCCTGACCATAATGGGTCGCACGGCGGCTCGTACTTACACCACCTTCACAAAAACTGCAGTGGAGAGCGAAGACGGTGCTGCCTCGCTCACTGGTCAGTGGCCAGGCCTTCGGGAAAATAATCTCAACATCCCTCAGGTGGCGATCAACCTTAGCGCATGAGATGATATTGAAAAGGAAATGCCAACGGTCTCGTTGATGGCTTCTCGCCCCGGAGGATGAACCATCTTAGTCATCAATCGGACCGAACCCCCGACTAATCGTCCCTAAGTGCCGCGCCTGGAGCAACGTACCGTCTCTGCCAGGAACAAGTCCGACCGCAGACTCCGTCATCACCGCCGTGCCATCACGATCGGTGGTCTCGGTGATGTCAGTGCTTCTCAATGTTTCTCTCAGTGCTTCTCAATGTTCCTCTCAGTGCTTCTCAATGCTTCTCTCAGTGCTCCTCAATGCCCTTCTGTCGACCGGCTCGGGTTACGGTTGTGGCCGGCGCGGTGGGGCCGTCTTTGTCCCGGCGCGGTCTGCCGTGCTCCGTGGCTGGTCGGCAGAGGCAGGGACAGGGAGGGACCGGTCCCGGACGGCCGGGCGGTGGCAGCTGGTGAGCGGAGGGACCGGTGTGGATGGGTGCTGACAGCGAGCCGTTCTGCACAGCAGGGAGCCAGGGAGCTGCTCAGCTGAAGCCAGTGTCGGTCAGTCATGGTTTTACCACGGCCGCTGACCCGCCGAGTAGCTAGAGAGCCCATCAGAAACCGCTGCATCGTGGCTCGAATCTGCTAAGTTTAGAAGCTAATTTCAAGCCGGCAAAACCTCAATGAAACCGGAATCTGGATTCTGAAACAGGGTGGCAGTGGGTCGAACCTGTCGTGAGTTTGCACCTCTGTCTGGCCGGCTGTCTGCATCTCTGTAAGCCGACCCTCCAGCAGACGCCGCCGACAGCTCAGCTGACGTGGCCTGCTCGTAAATCAGCGTCGTGTCAGCCCCTCCCCCGTCCGGCGC